CTTTTTGCCTTCAAGTACAATGCCTAACTGCAGGCAGCACTCAGAATGAGAGAAATGGACACCGTAAAACTCAGGCAGCAATATATTCACTTATGAAAAAACTTCTAGCTTTTTAGAATTTATAAACAGCCAATTTTAAATAAGCTTGAAGAAAGAAAACTTTTTAAACATGTACAGATAGCCAGTAAGTGAGGCAGTGTTTCCTCAGTACAGTTGCCCTCCCCACAAAATCTTTACCTTGAGAATCCAGAGGTCTTATGTCTGCTGGTTTTACCACAGGCTGGTAGAGCTTCTACATATCAAAAAAAAAAAAACAAAAACACAAACCAAAATTGTGAAATACTCCCTTGGTTTAACAGATATCTAATATACATATAGTAATCAGAACAATGGAGATTGTGGTGGAATTATTTAGATCAAGAATGTATTAGAGGTACAGATTATAGATACTTAGTTACTGAAAGTAGCATACTGGTTAACACAGTTACACTCACTGTAAACACATCTCCAGAATCTGCTTTAGTTTGCAGAATTCTGATTATTATAGCAAAAGAACTGACATCCAGGCATTTTGGAAGAAGCATTGCCACCTACTGCATGACTGAGGAAAAAACTGCTCTGGCTTCTCAGGAGCCATTCACAGAACCAGCATGCTTTCACAGAACCACAAACTCCAACAATGGGTACATTAAGACAAAAAGCTAAGAAAAAGAAAAGTACTTAAACAACTACACTCTAGCCCTACAGTTACTTAGATAGAGCTAAGAACACTCTGTTCCACAAACTGTGAATCTTGTGACCTTACATCAGTTAACTGAGACATGAAGTAAACTAGTAATAACTGAACGCAACCCATACTCAGTTACATTAAAGGTGGAATTAGAAGCAGCTAACAGAGAAGAAGGAAACAAAGCAAGGCTGAGGGAACAGAAGTTAGATCATCTGCAAGTTAGTGTTCTCCACTTCAGGAGCTGTCCCTCAACCTTCTTCAAGCAAAACCAAGTAGGGGAAAGCTAATTATGCCTTGCTGTACTTTTGGGAGAAATTTCTTCACAGTTCACACAACTTCTTAGCAAGTCTGCAGTAACAGCTCCAAGCAGGAGAACAAACATGGGTTGCATTTATCTCAAACTCTACAGACCATATTGACTGAAAACCCACAGGACGATCTCTTGCTTTGGCAATTACAAGGAAATCACCACAATAAATGAGTGGTTCTCTCCAGACAAATCACATCTTCATGGCTGCTCTTTATCCTCAGGAAGCATCACACAATTAGCTATGGTGATGAAAGAACCCAAGAAATCCTCAACCAAAACCAAAGAAACTACTGGTACCTTTACAAAATAGCTGAGAGATTAAAAAAAGGACCATTTACAGAGATAAACTAAGCTTTCCATATTTCTTACATATATTTCTACATATTCTTACAGGGAAAAACTAAACTTTTGCAGACAATTTTAATTAAAATAATCATCAAGTTGTGGTAGTGTGAACTTTGAAGAGATCAGCAAGAGAAAAAAAGTAGCATGAGAGGTATTCCACATAAGTAATCCACTGTGGCACTCAGGTAGGTCTTGTTAAATCTTGGTGTTACGCAATAACATATTTTATTTAAGTTGATTTTGTTTGTTTTACATACTTAATACATTGACAAAACAGAGAGATCACAAAAGGTAATATACGTCAGAAAATATCTCAGGTGTAAGATGAAAGTGCACCCATGCACTTTTTCCTTACTGTAAATCATCTCTGCCTGGCTAACCTAGAGAGTTAACTAACATTTGTCAATTTTAGTCCTCAGAAATGCAATGCAGGCTCCTACACAACTTTCTAAAAAAATCCCTGTTTGCTTTAGTATAGAATAGCTGAAGTTGGAAAGGACCTCTAAACACCCTCCTGAAAGTTGGGCTAACTAGGGCAGGTTGCTCAGAAACTCATCCAGTCAACTCCATGAATCTCCCCAAGGATGAAGACTGCACAGTTTCACTGGACAGCTTGTGCCAGTGTTTGACTCTGCCTCAGCCTCTTGTTTTTTATGAAAGGAATCCTAGTTAATCAGGAGGTAAACAAAAGAGAGGTCTAACATAACTTCAGGGAAGAAATCCAGCAGCTGAGGACACCACTGGGTTGTTTAATGCCAGTAATTACTTTACACTGCGTGTCAAAAATCCCACAGAATTTACTGTGCTGATTCATTAATCCACACTGCCTTTTTTCCCATGCTTTACTGAAAGTCATTACTCGATGTAGTTACTTGCTCAAAAAAGTGCTTAGGAAGCCACTGACATTTTTTTAAGTCATACACTGCATGTGATACTATCTGTATGTATGTAGTGCAACATTTAGTACCTCAACCAGCCCTTGAGCAAGGACTTCAAGAACCTGGAAGATAACTAGGTGCCTACTGGTTTGTAAATCTTGAGTCACAAGGATGAAGCAATATGCTTCAGTTTCTTTGTGCTACAGACACAATTCAGACACAGTCACAACACTTTGTAGCTACACTTAGTTACTTAGTAAACTTACTAAGTTTAAACCTTGTTACTGCAGAACCAGTTCTTAAAAAAACCAATTTCATTTTATGATTAACAATCAAAAGCAACCATGGGAAGGAGCTTAAAGGTCAACACTGGATGATTGATTTCTTAATGCAAAGGTTTTCTGGAAGTTTTAGATTACCCACCAACATCTCTTGCTCTGCTTTCATGGTCTGGATAGCATGCACCAGGATCTTTTTAGGCCACCGTTTACGCCTAGCTGTTGTCTCTGCTACTAATTCATGAAATTCATCCTCCAGAATTTCAATATTGGAATCTGAAAGTGACAAACACACATACTTACTGTGGAATTCTCAGACAATTTTTTTTTTTTTGAGAGAAACTTATCAAGACAAAGAAACTTTAGATCTCAAACTAAAAAAATCACGCATGATTATCAACAGAGAAATAAATGGATGTCTTGAATCTCCCTGCTAAGGCAGTATAGAGATTGGAGCATAACATGATGTTGGCCAGTTATTTTGAAGTAAATTATCTGGGGGGGGAAGGCAGAGAACCATCCAGGGGAAAAAATAACAAATATATTTCCCTATGAACTCTGAATCTGTGAAGAAAGTCTTAGGAAGCAATGGCTATCTTTTAAGGAGAAAAATGGTTTATCTGTGTGATTTACAAGCATTAAACAAATTCCAACTGTACAAACAGTAATTGGAAGCCTAACTGATTTTACATCACACAGTGCACAAATAAGCAGTTTAACATTTAAATTCACTGTTCCCACTAATGTGTTGAGTATAACTTGCAAGCCATGTAATGTTTGCAATCTAGTGGTAAAGAATGGATTTTGAGCACCCTCTCTGGGTCACTCTGTGCAGAATCAAGTGATTGCAAAATTCAGAAAGGAAAAGTCAAGGTTCCAGGAGTCTGTGTGTTTGTTCTGGTTGTTTGTTGTAAGATCACCATTAAACCATTCAAGTAACAGGAAAGACTTAAGCCACTGGTCAACATAAACATGGAAGGCACAAAATGCCAGATCTCTTTGTGATTCAAACTGGATCAGAGATAGTCACATGAGTAAATCTATACCTAATTAAACACCAGAATACACTCCTTACACCTGCTTTATTCCAGCTGTGGGCAGATGACAGTGCCTCAGTTTTGTATCATGAGTTCCGTGCATTTTTGACCTTGTAGTCAAAGCAGCTGGAGTTTTATAATTCTAGAACTACAACCGCAGACACTTCAAAGAATCAGAGAATAGTCTGGGTTGGAATAGTCTGGGCCTTTAAAGGTGATCTAGTCCAAGCCCCCTGCAATGAGCAGGTACATCTTCAACTAGATCACATTGCTCAGAGCCCACAGTTTGCTCAGAGCATCCCGACCAAAAAACAGTTCAACGTTTTTGGTTTAACAACTCCACAGTTAGCTCAATGCATCTGTATTTTTACCTCTGTGTAACTGCAAAAGGCATTAAGCTGCAGGCAAAGAGCACCTAAAGCCAACACAACTGAGTGAATGAACAGCACTGGAATTTTCTTTGGACACCAGACTACCAAGAATCTCCACTACTATTATTCAAAACACAGTAATTATAAAAACATTGTTTCTATTACATATATTTATATAGCAATAATTTTCAACACTTAATCTGTATATTAAATAGCAGCAACAGACAGTCTCCTAGGGCCTTTTGATAGATCTTTGGTCACTGACCCCAACACTCAGGCTCTCCAGAGCCTCCTGCTCACAGCAGGGTCTACACCCATGTCAAAACAGGTTGCTCACAGCACTTTTGTCCAGATGGGTTTTGGAAGCCTCCAGCGCTGGAGACAAGCTCTGGGCAGCCTTTTCCAACGCTCTGTTATCCTAAGAATGAGTTTTTACTTCCATACATCAAGTCAGAACCTCCCTTTTCAATCGGACCCCTTCTACCTCAGGACAAAACCAAACCAAAACAAACCCAGCCAGCAGGAAGCGAATGGAAACCGACGCCTACCGCTCCGCAGCCGGGAGTCATCCGAGGCCTCCTCCCAGGGCTGCCCGTTAATGGTGACGTTCTCCCGCACCGCTGTCTCGAAGTTCTGCAAGGCATGGGACAGACTGAGAATCCAGCGGTCCATCCGTGAATTCATCCATCCCTCCTGCAGGAAGGGCCCGTCCCGCCTCACCGCCCTGCCCGGGAGCCACCCCGGGGCAAGCCGCCCCCTCACCCCGGGTGCCGAGCGCTGCCAGCCGGGCCCTGTGCCGGCACAGGACGTTCCCACTTCCCGCTCACCCAGAGCGCGTCTGCCTCGGCGGCGGCCCCGCCGGGCTGTCCCTGCGCCAGGGCCCGCACGAAGGGCGCGCACAGCTCCAGCACCGCGCCCAGCCCGCGCCGCGAGCAGCAGCGCACCCACGGGTCCCGCTGCGCCGCGCCCGCCTCCCCCGGCCCCGCGTCCGCCTCCCCCGGCCCCGCGTCCGCCTTCCCCGGCCCCGCGCCCGCCGGCTCCGGCTCCGGCGGCGTCGCCATTTCCCGCCTGGAACGCGGGGAAAATGCCGGCCCGGAAGCGGAACCCGCAGCCGCCCGGTGCCTTCCCGCCGGGCGCGGCATGGCGGGGCCGGTGGACTGTCACTGCCACCTGGCCGCGCCCTGCTTCCAGCCGGTGAGGCGCGGCGGGCGGGGGGAGTCCCGGGCGCGGCCCCAGCGCTGAGGCGGTGTTTGTCTCTTGCAGGACGTGGCGGCCGTGGTGCGGGCGGCGGAGCAGGTGAGGCGGGGCCGGCCTGAGGGGACCCTCTGCCCGCGGCCCCGCCGGTCTCAGCGGGCCGGGGGTCTCTGTGTGCCGTAGGCGGCCGTGTCAGCGCTGGTGGCGGTGTCGGAGCAGGCGCGCGAGTTCCGGAGCGTCGTGGAGCTGTCTGAGAGGTGCGAGGCCGGCGGGGATTCCGGCGCCCGCCCGTGTCCCGGCGTGGGTCCGCGGCTTGGGGATTGACGGGGGATGCGCTGTCCCCCTCCGTCAGGCCGGCCCTTCTTGTCTTTAAACCTGCGCTCTCTGTGGGCTCTTGGCGTTAAACTTAGGCTCTCTGTAGTCTTTCACACTCTCGCTATCTATTCCATGCTTAGATTCCCAGGGTTTGTCTTGCCATGCCTGGGAGTTCACCCCGTTCAAGAGGTTTCTCCAGAGGAGCAGCGCAGTGTTACTTTGAAGGTAAAACGCGGCCTCTAAAATACTGCTGGGACTTTTCAGGACAGACGACAGGATGCTCCGGTCTGCCTGATTTACCTTCAGGTCTGCCCAGTGGTTTTTCTGCTCTCTGTAATGCAAGGAGACCCAGTGGACCAAATCCCAGGCTCTCTCCATTTTTCCCTATCAGCCCTTAAAGCAGAATTGTTCTCTGGAGTCATCTGGCTGTATTGCTGCAGAGAAATGGTTTTAAAAATCCCAGGTGTGCTTTGCTTACAGCAAACAACATGTGCAGATGTTCCTTTGTTAACATGGGAACTGGAAGGCAATTGTTTGTGACTTTGTCCTAAAAATCTCAGGGAGCTGTCTGCAGCTTTTTTATGTTACCAAGTTATTTTGGGACCTTGTTTTAATTACCTCTGCTGCTACTGTGAAAAGTAGCTCAGAAGTATTTAGAATAAGGTTTCAATATATAAATATATCTATAGAGAGATAGATATAGATAAAGAATGTAATATGTAATGAAATGGTTATTAAGAAGATGAATCCTTCAGGCTTCTAAAATCTTGACTGCACAGCTCACAGTAATGGCAAGTTGTAAAGTACAGAATTTCAGAACAGTGAAGGAAATGCCAATTTAATCAAAATGCTGCGTTCGTAACCCTTTCCTCTTATAAAGGCAGTGAGAGTTGCATCTTTTATTCTTTCAGGATCTGGATGCTGCACTGCCTCTTATAGAACTTTACAAAGACAAATTGGTGGGGATTGGAGAAGTGAGTGGAATTCTATAACTTGTTTAAATCTCTCAAGCAGCAGCTGTCACAGGAATTACAAAAACTGAGTCAATGCTTGTTTTTCTGTATGTGATATGAATTGCTATCAGCCTGAACAAGCATTAAGTCTGATTGGTAGTTCTCTTAATGTGCTTTCCTGTATAGATTTGCTTGATTCCTTCTTTTCCTTTGTTATTGCTATTAGAAAATAGATGGAATTTATGCTGCTGGAGTTGTTGGAAGATTACATACTTATGCTCTCTCATGTTATACCCAAAGGCAGATCTTTCCTGCTTTCTTCTCTGACAAAGTTAGGCTAAGCTGTAATTTCAGTACACCACAATGACTTGTACAGTTCTTTTTTTTTGTCCTTCATCTATCTGTATCCATCTGTTGTCTCCTGTCTTACATTTGTTTATGAATTAATTGAGGCTTTAGGATGGAGTCTGCCTCTATTTGTGTGTTAGTACCAGAGGGACTTACATCTGGTAGTGCACTGGCTACAGAAAAAGCGGGTTTTGGCAGAGCTTTGTAGCTAAATTTGCCATGTTGTACTGTATATGGAGAACTTATCTTCATCTAACTTTGAATGGGACTGCTTTGACAGACTTTAAATTTTGCCTGAACATGTTTAGATCAAAAAAGTATAAAATTAGTGGGTAATTTTTGCTAGAGATTGGACTAAAGCTATAGGTTAAGGTCAGAAATTTTACTTATACTGGAGATCCATGTTTGAGACTTAATCTGATATAATATTCAATAGAACATAAACCCCCAAAAAACCAGTTACAGACTACAATGTTAAATACCCTTGTTAGTAGCTGTCTGCCCACAAATGCTTTCATTGTTGAAAAGTTTATGGTTAAGAATGCATTCTTTTTTTGAGTTAAGCTGCAGCTGAGCTCATTTTAATTGCAGTCTCTAGTATACATAATTTGAAATTCTTTGCAGTTTTGAAGCATGGTATGCCTTTGTATGTCTAATTATGGTTTTGTTAAGTGTTAGGTCTGTAAAACCTTTCCCTTGTCTTCTTGTACTGTAGGTTGGACTAGATTTCACTCCCAGATTTGCCAGCACTGATGAACAGAAGGAAGGACAAAGACAGGTTTTGATCAAGCAGATTGAGCTGGCAAGAAGACTGGATTTGCCATTGTAGGTTTTGTTTATACCAGAAGGAGGATTTGTCAGGTCTCAGTAACATGTTGAAATACTTCCCAGGATTTATGGTTATTAAGTGCCCACAGAACTTTTCTTAGATGGATTAAACTGGCATAAGTGTCCTGTCAGTCTCCAGTTTGAGATTTAATTTTAGAATTTTCCTTATGTTTGCACTTCTGTACAGACATCTTATGTGCCCTGTCCATGCTATGTTGTTCCCATTAATATATGCATCTCTGGGGTTTTTTCTTGATAAAAGTTGTAATACAGATTAATTATTTTCATCCTAAGATACTGTTAGTTTGTTTGTATATGCCAAAAAAAAAAAATTTGGCTAAATTTCCTAATGCTGGTCCTCTCCTTGCTGTGCAGAAATGTTCATTCCCGCTCAGCTGGAAGACCAACCATTAATCTTCTGAAGGAACAAGGTATCCTTTTTTAATGCATTTCCTCTGCCATGGCTTTTGCCAACAGGATTTCTCCAGTTGTGCCATGTCCTCACATCAGTTTGTGTGTGTTTAACTCAGGAGCAGAAGTGCGGAGTTTCTGTGTTAATTCTGTATGGGACCAAGGTCCCATTGGAAGCTGACACGGCAGCCCTGCTGTAACCCTGCTGATGATGTGGTTTGCTTTATTTCTCCAAGGTGCTACCAAGGTGATGCTCCATGCCTTTGATGGGAAGCCGTCTGTAGCCATGGAAGGGGTGAGAGCTGGATACTACTTCTCCATTCCTCCTTCCATTATAAGGAGTGAACAGGTAACGTTTTGTCCCGGTTCCGGCTGGGGTCTGCTCCTTCTCCATGCATTGCACATTTTTACTTTGGCGGAATTTCTGCCTGGGGCTTTTGCCTTAGCTGGACTTTGGATGGGGAAGTCTGGCTAAAACAGCTCAGCTATTCCTGAGAAACAAGGGGGGTTTTTCTCATTTTATTGTGGTTTCTGGTGAACTGTTCTTCAGAAGATTCTGTCACTGTACTGTTTTACAGTAGGGACACGACATGTAGAGAAGGAGTAGTTTTTGTGATAGGACTGCTTTCTGTGATAAGCTCAGGAAATGTAAGAGAGTAAAAAGTTTGATTCAAGTGGAGGGAGCATGAGGGGTGGATATAAATGGGGATGAGGTTAGGTACTTAGGAAGGAAAAACTGCGGTTGAGAGGTAAAGCAGAGAGGAGGAAAAGGAACCCAAATATTATATGCACAGAAAACAGCAAATTAGAATTGCACTGGCAACTCTATAACTGCAATATACCATACCTGTGATTTAATAAATAACAATGAATTCACCTTTGAGATAATAGTGCTTTGGATATTTAGAAAACAGGAGAACCCTAATTTGAAGGGACTTCTGGAGCAGCTCCCGGTGTTCTTGCTTCCATACAGAAATTGTTGATAAAATGTAAACTGTGGCACCAAAGTCTTTTGATGTTGCCTCTAAATGTAGGGAATATCCTCCCTTCATGTTTTTTTCCCCAAAGTTTTAAGTGCATAAAGCATTTAAAGGCTGTCTTATTTTCTTCAAGAAGCAGAAGCTTGTGAAACAGCTGCCGCTGGAAAATATGTGCTTGGAAACTGACTCTCCTGCTCTGGGGCCTGAAAAACAGGTAAATGATGGGAGAGAGGGACTTCTGTGTATTTGTATCCAAACCCACACCTAGTGGAGGTCAGCTACGGGCACGGGATAATAAAGTAGCCTTAAGCGTGGTTACAAGAGAGGAATGAGACCATCAAGGGAACTTAATCCAAGAGTAATGGACACGTGTCATCTTTCTGCCACATGTGCCACAATGTGACTGAAGTTGTGTCAGAAAGTACTGAATCTGAAACACTTGTGATCTCTAGGGGTCTGTAATTTGGTTGGTTTGTTTTTCAGGTGAGAAATGAACCCAAAAATATTTACATTGCTGCTGAATACATTGCGAAAATTAAAGGAATTCCAGTTGGAGAAGTTATAGAAATGACTACACAGAATGCACTAAAAGTATTTCCTAAACTTCAGCACTTTATTCGGATATAGATTCAGAAACTGAAATATATGATGTTGCAGAAAGTATTACTTGTGGTGTTATTAATAAAACCAATGTATATCTTGTATTAAAGTGGAGTTTTGCAGTTGGAAGTTCAAGAAGCAAGGAGTGTAATATAGCTGGATAGGATGAAAATAGGGAATTTCTCAAAGGTCTTTGGTGTGCACCGTAATAGTCTCTTGAATGTGATCAAGACACATTGTTCCTTTGCATCTTTCATGTCTCTGAACAAATAGTTTGTAAAGAAGAGCACCATAAAATTGTCGGTTTAGTTTCTCAGACTGCTTGCCAGCTGCTCCTAGTGTGGGAGATGGCTACAGTACAGTGCTTGCTGTCCCCTTCACTTCTTGTTTCTGCTGACTGAAAGCCACAAGTTGTGGACCCAGTCATGATAAGAAAGCTCCTGTTACAACTGGCAGACTACACATCTCTTTCTGAGCCATTAAAAGAACCCAGCTGGATGGACATTCTCTGTATTCTGTGCTGACTGGACTCTGAGGGGTGCAGAGGCAACATCTTTTCAGAATACAGTTGGAAGAATTATAGTCCTTCTACTCCTTTTCCTTGGCTACTTAAGATGGATTTTTAAAATACTTTACTTTTTAAATTGTGTTAAAAGCAAAAAGCCTGGGTTTGGTCTTAGTTCAAGGATTCACTCTTCTGACTGCTCAGTATCAGGAGACACAGGATGTGACAGGGAGACAAGCTCAATTTTGTGATATCTTGGAGGTGTTCTCTGTAGATTCAGCTATGTTGTCCAGTGTGCTAAAGCTGAATCTGGTGCTCCGTCACAGCCCCTGTGTGGATGTGGGTTTGTGAAATACTGATCAAAACTTTGTTGATTATAAACGAGCAATTGAATGAGGTGAGTTTTACATGGCACCCAGGTGTTCTGAGGGCCACTAAGAAAGTGGAGGTTTTCTCTTACTATGGGGAGTTTTACCAGGTCAGTGAAGAAAATACACAAGCATTAACTTAATTCATGACCACTTCATGGGGGGAGAAGGGGCCAAAGCTTGCAGTGTAAGTGATGCCCCATCCTAAAGTTTTGTTTTCCTCCACCTCATCTTCCTCAGTTTCTTAAAATCACATTGTCAGGGGGTTTTTTTGGCTGCCTTTATCAGAACAGCTGTTCTTCTTTTTGACTAGAAGTAGCTTATTAAGTTTAAACATGTGTTCCTAAACAGCTTTCAGCCTGCAGCAAACAACCAAACTTGCACAATTTGTCTCTACTACAATGTGTATTTAGAGCAGCAACCACCTGGATCTCTACTGAGTGTTTGATCCAGTGGAGAGCTGTTCCTTATCCTGGATCTGCAGGTACCATTTCCACTAAATGGGGCGAAGGACGGAGTTTGCCTGCAGATGGTGCTAGGGAACAGGTGTGCAATAGTCAGACTATTAGCGTGAGCCACTTAATGAATAATCATGTCATTGGAGATGCTAAACATGTGATAGATAGCAGGCAGCCTTACGATGGCTTCCTGCTGCCTATGTGTTGGGAAGTCTCCCAGTATTGCTTGGAAATGCAATTATGTGAGGAGGTGCTCGAGGTAAGAAGTCAGGCAGCATCCAACTATTTGCAAAGTTTTGAGCTAATTATTTTTCTCTATGGAATCCTTAGCATTGGATGAAAACACTGGTTTTGCAAGAAGGGGGAATATTAAATAGGCTCCTCAAAATTCCTGTCTCTGCAGGGGGGTGGTGCTGCTCTGGTTCAGCCTTAGCCTTGCTGCAGGATGATTCCTGACTGTTTGAATCCCTTTTGATGTGGCAGAAACCTTCAACACACTCCCATCCTTGAGCTCCTGTGTGGGCAGGGCACTGCTGAGGGTGGGCAGCCCCCGGGGACCATGGGGCTCTGGGACAGCCCATGTCCCTGGGCCTGCAGCAGCAGGCCTGGAGCTGCTTTGGGTGGTGCAGGAGTGTGGCTGATGCTAGCAAAGGAGGCACGGAGTTGCTTCCCCTCGGCCAGGAAGAGCTGGCATTACAACAGCGATGGGCAGGGTGAGCCTGGCAGGGGCCCATGGCAAAACAAACCAGCTTTGTCCTCTCCTCAGACCTGCGGCGCCACAGCTAAGTCATGGAATAGGTGACCTGGAGTTCCAGAAAAGGAAAACGTAGTGTCACTCCCACTCTACCTTGGCATCCTTGACACATAACAAGAGTCAGAAGCAGCACTCTTTTTCCATTGCAGCTGGTTTGGCTGTGCAAGTTGTGCCCCAGTCCGGCAGTCAGTGCTGGAGGTGGGCAGCAGGTGCTGGAAATAAAGTTGTTGCGCTGCACAAGAAACTCTTTAAGGTGCTCACTCAGGACTCGTGGTACTGCTGTGCAGTGAGGAGGAAGTATAGTTTCTGAGCTGGAAGATGTTGCTGATCCTTAGCAGTCATTCTGTAACTTTACCTCAAATGGGGTATTTAACAGAAGGCTTGGATTTATGCCTGCATTCCCACAGTGACATCTGGCCTGGAGAGGCTGGGGAAGGCAGGATGGCTGGGGGGGAGCTGCCTGGCTGTACACTGTGAAGCCCTGCATCCTCACAGAGGTTGGCCTTAGCAACATCAGTGTGTGTCCTGAACCCTGTTGCAAGCCTCTCAGACCTGGATAAACCATGCCTTCCCCTAGGTAACACAGGAGACTGAAATGGCCAAGGATGTATTGGAGGAAGGAGACAGTGCAACTGTAGTTTTTGGGAAAGTTACTGGTGACCCAAGTTTTCTTTTCAGCCATGCCATCAATTTTGGAGGTCACACACAGGCCAGGTGACCTCCGTCTCAGAGAGGGGAATGGCACAGATTGTCTGCAGCAGTGTGGAAAGTAGTAAGTGTCAATTTCCATCATACCTTCAGCCATCAGCTTTCCTTGGGATGCTACAGCAGTGGACCTGGTGGCACTTTGCAGGACTCCCCATGTCGTTTTACCTTGCAGGATGTACATGGAGTGATAAAAAACCAAGAAAGGGCTCGATCTGTGCTCACTGAAATAGTCTTTGGAGGGCTGCAGCCCTTTGGAGGACTCCCAGGGCCTTTCTTCGGAAATTTGTTTTTAGCCATGGATTAACGGCCTGAATCTCCTGAACTTTGGGACAAAGTGCTCTGAGTTTTTCCAGAATTTGACATGGGAACAAGTGAAGAAATGGTAATGAGGCCAAGTTGATGAAATGCTGCTTATTCCTGCTATTTATCATGATAAGAGTTTAGACTAAAGACTTTTACTGGAGGTGCTTCCAACAGACTCCTATGCAATGCATAGATAGGCTCTTAAGAGGCAAAAGCAAATAAATAAATGGCTGGAAATGCAACTTTCATCACCTATGAAGTTCTGCTTTTGTTTGTTTTTTCATTAATGCAGGCTGGGGTTCAATCCTCTGTTCCCATTACAGAGCAGGAAAGTGAATTTGAGAAAGTCACTGGCTTAGCATAAAGCTTTATTGTTCTCCCCTTTGCTTTCTATATGCAGTACAAAGACACTACTGAGATCAAAGAAAGGATATGAATTACCATAGCACCCAGTTGTCTCAACATTTTCCTCTTCAGCAGGTGGTTATCCATCTGTTCATTTTCCCTGCTGGGGTTGGCTTTTCTATCAGTGTGACTCTCTTGGGGCATGGGAATGTAAACCCTGAGTGCACTGGGTGGTGGCCCCACCATGCAGTGAGTGCCAAGTGCCTCCTCCAGGAGCTGGTGGATTTTTGTGCCCCTTTGAACTACTGTGAATGACAAAACAAGGAGAAACCATAGTGAGAATCAAGGTCCTGATGAACCCTGGGGCAGGAGCTGATGCCCATCTCCCCAAATGCTTGGTGCTGTGCTTAGAGAGACTCTGCTTTGTGCAAGCACAGGAGATCAGTGCCTCTACCCTGCTCAGGTCTGCTGATGAAAACAGGGGCAGGATTCCTTTGAGGAAGCAGAAGTGATCAGTCACTGGAGTGCCTCTGAGGCATGGCACTGTGGACAAGGAGTCTGGACGAGCGCATCTGATGTCCTACCAAAGTGGCAGAATCAATATATACGGATTTCGTCTGCAGTGTCTGGGTGAGGTAATAAGCCTTGTACCCTGCCTCTGAGGGCAGGTGAGGCGGCTGTGTGGTGTCTGTGGGCAGTGATTCAGATGAGCCCAGCCTGCCACAGCACAGCCCTGGCTGTGTTGAGGCTGAGCAAACCTTCAGCTGCCCGTACAAGGCCGAGTACAGCTGCCTGAATGACCACAAAGCAGCAGCAACATGTGGGGAAGCAGAGCTACATCCCCCTGTTCTGGAAGTGCAGTGGGTGAGACATGGAAAAGTGACAGTATGGGCAGTGTGATTGAGGCCCTGCTGCCCCAGATATCACCAGGCAGATGGGCTGGGTCTGTGCCTGGGCTGGCTGTTAAAGCCTGCCTGCAGTGCAGGAGAGCTCTTTGTGCTCCCCACCCTGCTCAGTCCCTCTCACCAAGCCTGTGGGGCTGAGCAGCAGCAGAGCCCTCCCTGTGGCCATTGTCCTCTCTCCTCTCCATCTGCTGCCAGGTCCCTGTGGCTGCCTGCACTTACTGCACCTGGGCTACCCTGGCTGCCAGGGAACAGCAGCTGACGTGTCCCTGCCTCCTCAGCCCCCAAAGGCATGCTGACTCCATCATGTGTGTGGTGGGGTTCATCCCATTCGGAGCAGAGCAGATGGGCAGCGCCACAGTCCAGGTGAGGTGCCCACATGTATTTTGTATTTCTGTGGCAGAGTGTGGACATTGGGTTTAACTTGTTTAGTGTTCCCATATGGACTTTGCATCTGCTATTTTGCCTGTGCCAGGGCTGTATGCTTTGTCACCCAAGAGTGCAAATGGGTGCTGGGTTCCTTGCTGGTGCCCAATCACACCTTAAAGTACATGATGCAACATTGATAGAAGATGTTTCACAGGCAGCACAACCAATAATGCTTTTTTTTCCCCAGGGATTTATGATCTCCTCACCATAGTTATCCCAATCTCATACCCATATCCTGTGATGCTCCCATTAGAGCCCAGCAATCCCAGTGCTGCATTTCCAGCTCCCAGTGTTTCTCCCTAATCTCTGTCTCCCTAAGCTCCTCCATGTACCTTCTGGGCTCTGCCTGTCACAGCACCTTGGCTTTCTTCTGTGTCCCTGTAATCTCCCTGTAATTCCCCATCTCTCTCCCATGGTGCCTCCCCGAACCTGTTGGATTGTCTTTTAGGAAAGACTAGTGTGGGTAGATCATGTTTG